ACAGTTTTGTTCCTATTTTTCAGTCTTGCTCATATTGCCAACAATCAGCAGAGCATCTTTTGTGGTTAGCAAAAATCGAAATGCATGACCAAAGCTCCCAGAGTCTGTTTATCATGTGTTCCCACAGTTTGAGGCATACAAGCATCTCAACACAAAGAAGACAGGGTAAGAATCAGCAGAGTGGAAACAAAGCAGGCACTTTCTTCTCTGACATTAAGAACACAAAAAACCAAACACCTTTCACACCGTAGTCATTGCAAGGAGATGTATAAAGAATAATTCTAATGATGTTCCAGTTCCTGGGTTACTTTATTGCTCTGCTTAATTTAATGTCGTGACTGTATTTTCATCAATACTGTAGCAGCCTACCTGTTGTACTTGCCACAGACTGTTTTGTATTATTTTTTTTTATCTGTATCTATTGCACGTTACTGTTACAAAACAAAAGATAAAGCTTCTGGAAGATAAGATGAACTGCTGCAGTAGTTTCAGATACAATAGATACTGTTTCAGCTACAGTGGTCATGTTTGTTCATGTCACAGCAGGTTATTTTAAAACTCACTTTCGCACTTCATCCCTTGGCACATGACATCCTTACTCCACACTCTTTCCTGCTGTAAGAAACAAGTCGAACTGATGACTTCTTATCTTGGGTGCTGACTGATTGAGCCCACAATATTTATTTCTTAAGGTCACCCCCTGACTTCTGCATCTCTTTTACCTGGGAGTTACAGCAGTGATTTTACTCTGCAGTTGGAACACACATGTACAAGGTCTGTCTCCCCAAGCCAGTCTCACAGCGAAGGAACCCTACCATCTTTATTGGCTCCCACAGACACATGGCTTCACCATCAATATTTCCATCACACAAAATGACAACAAAATAACAATGCTAACATTCAGCTCTGAAGATCAAGAAAACAGATACCAATCTGCAGTCACTCATACTATCTAGAACAAATCAGACTGTTTTACCATTCATTAAAAGCTTCTTCTTTCAGCCTTTCTCATTTGTTGCAAACTCGCTGCACTACCAACAGCCAGGCTGCTTTCAATTGACAAAACAGTACAAACAGATTTTCAGTTCATTTATAATATCATGATAATGTTTACTTACCCACATGTTGGAAATATACGTGACACTGCCTGCGTCACGACTGGTGAGATGCCCTGGGAGCCCTATGGAAATGTGCAGCCATGCAGCTGAGGAGCACAGGCCAGGAGGAAGGGAACTTTGTAGCCTTTTCCAAGGGAAAAAACAGTCTCTGTGCTGCACGCTACCAAAAGAGATCCCCCAGAAAGCTGAGCAATGCAAACGCAGAAATGCTGACAAAAATGACTGGTCTCATTTGAGGTACTAAGCAATATAGATCGTCTCCATATTCTTAGAAACTGCAAAAAGCTTGGCCATCCTGACAACAATTCTTAAATGTACATTTTTTAGGACATAATGTCCCTTGAACACATAACTTTCATTTAATTTAACAGCAGTTGCACATGCATATGTAAGAAGTGTATATTTGTTGTTATACCTGCAACGTTTTAAAACATATATGCCACGGTAATACGTTTGCATCTATCTCTGCTATCCATATGAAGAAACAGACACTGCAAACCAAGACCAGCAAGGATACTAAAGTACTAGGCATTCATGTCTGGGAATGCACAGAGCATACAGAACATAAACAAGATAACATCCAAAAGAGGTCATGGGAAGGTGAGAAGGTGATGGAGAATAACAAAGCAGCCAGTGTAGCAAATAATCTGAACACATAACTCCTGCACACACAGCCTGTTAGAACTTGTAAGGATGACCACAGACTCTGGCAAGAGGTGGGTTTCAGGAGATATTAAAACAGTGCACGCTGACCTCTGCAACTGATTGCCACCAGAGCTTGAGGGAGAAGGCATACCGCAGGCCCAAAAGGACACACAAGCTCATGGTCAGCAGATGTCTAACAGGACAATAAAAGGATTGGGCAGGTACGTATCCTCCAGCAACTCTGGGTTCTTCTGTTTATGGCAAATAAAAAATGGCTTTGCTCATCTACTTTCCTTAGAGAATGCCTGCTAAGCCAGATGGATCATTTATCTGTACACCACAGGGCAGCACCGCAGATGGTTGTTCATATCTTCAGGAGCTTCTAACTTGACTGGGGAAGGAGCCCAGCCTTCCCTGGGAAGCCAGGCCTACATAGCTTTCACTCTTGTAAAACAGATTATGAAAAAGCAACTAAAACAATTCTCAACCCAGGGCAGGGATTGAAACTAACTTTTCATATACTCTTCACCTAATTACATGATGATTTCAAAACAAAGTGCAGTGGTATCTTCCCTTACTTCATTACCAACTTGTAAGAAGAAGGTAAAACTCAGAAACTCTGCTTCAAGAGTGAAAATGTTACGCTACTCAAGAATAATGCTATTTTCCTCAAAGAATAGATCAACTTCTAAGGCAAAATTTCCAGTTGACGATGATGGAAATGCAAATCCTAAAGCAACTGAACTCACAAATGCAAGCAAAACACTAGAAAGCATGCTCTGGGATCCCATACAATCAGTGCTAACCTCTGCATCACCCATACCTTATTTATCGTAACTGGAAAATACTTATCCCTGTTACTGAGATTATTTTATACAGTACAGAAGCAAACTAACGGGAAAGGCTCAGCACAAATGACGCTAATAGGATCAGTATATTGTCACCAGATGTCTCCATATACAGAAATATGTAATTTTCTACATGTGGAATAATGATTTTTATTTGTTTACACTTGCTAAGTAGTTCCTAAAAAAAAATAATAATAATAATTGAAGCCTTTAAGAAGCTCAAGCATTTCACTTTCATGTATGAATCTCGGTCTTGCTTTTTCCTGGCCCACAGAATAACATCTTAGACTTCTGTTACATCTTAGATTTCTGTCATAATATTTCCATTCTAGAGACATACAACTTCATTAATTTCTATACAATTAGGATCTGTTCCAATATTAAATAAGACAATCAAAAAGCTACTCATATGAGAAGACAACTCAGAGCCAACCCCTGAAGCCTTGGCTCTATTTCAAGTCTTAAAAAAGATGTCTTAAGGAAAAAAAAAAAAAAGAAACTAAGAAGCTCAAAATGAAGATAAAACGCTTTGCCTTTGCCTCCTGCAGAGCACTTTCCTTCTTACGAAGAAGCTCCTATAAATGTCTCTTAACCTCTTTATATGATTTGATATGTATGTGTGATGTACATATGATTTGATAAGTATGTTTGATTCATACTCCTCACAATTGCTGCTTGCAGACTCAGCAAAATTGGAATACATGCAGAATCTTTAATGAAAAACATTTTCTTGTCAACTAAGTGTATGAAAACACTTGCGTTAATTTCCACCGGTACTTTTAGTTTCAAATAAACCCAAATGAAACACCAAACTTGTAGAACACACAAAATGATCCAGGCTGAAAGGGAGCACTGGAGTCACCCTGTCCATCTGGGTGCTCACAGCAGAGCCCACTATGCAGTGGCATCAGGATGCTCAAGGCCCCCTTCAGCTAAATATTAAAAATCCCCAGCAATGGAAGCTCCCTAGTATCTATAGTGAATCTGTTCCAATGGCTGACGACCACTCTCGTTTTCAAAAAGTACTCACAATAAGTAATGAGAATTTTGTGTCCACTGTCTCTTACATTTTCCCTCTGCACCTCCACATAGTCCAATCCTGTTTCTCTGTAAGCAGCCATCATGGAGTTTGAAGTGGAAGGGAGATCTCCCCTTGCTTTCCTCTGAGAAACTGAGTGCACTCAGCACTTCCTTGCATGCCATGAGCTCCAGCCCCCGACCATCTTGGTGAGCCTTCACTGCACTGAGTTCAGATTGTAAACCTCTCTCCTTACCTAGGGAGCCCAGATTTGTAGGCAGGCCTCTAGATATGCCACACAAGTCCAAAAGCAGTAGGAAAACATGTTCCACCTGCTACCTGTCCTCTTGCTAAGCAGCCTGCTATGTCATTAATACTCATCACAGCAATGGTACAACGATGAGCGATACCTCACTTGTCAAAACAATTCCCATGTCATCACTTAAAATCATTAGGTGATGATATTTTTATTTTTTAAATTTTTAAATAAAAAAAAGAATAATATTCAAAACAGGCAAAAGACACAAAGGTGTTTTTTTTTTTTTTTTTTGACTTCCATATGAATTCCCAGCGTATTATTTGCTTTCAATCATTTTCAATCATATGCAACTGTTTATGCAAGCTGTTTATGCAGCTGATAAACCAGATCACTAGCCCTGCTAAGGACAGATCCCAGCTCCCTAGAGGAAATAACTCATGCTCTCTAAAGATCACCAATTGACATGTGAAGCACTGACCTATTCAACCTATCAGTCCCTCAGGCTATGAACGTGCTACACTGCAACTGCAGAGTCAGTAGAAAATCACCTTTTCTTTTCAGAAAGCAGTCATTCAAAATCAAAATCAAGCCTGTTTGAGCTTTCTAGTAAAATGAAATTAAATTATTTACTGTCTTTCTTAAAAATATCCCTGCATCTCCTCTACTAAATTCTAATGGAATGTTTAACATTAACCCTAGTTACACTTGAACACTGTCATCAACAGTATTCTGAATAAATAAATAAATAAATAAATCACTCTGTTTAAAAATTTATTCTCCTTTACACAAACACATGCATTAAATTTTTTCCAAAATCTCATGAAAAATGTCATGACACAGCCATATCATTTTTATGGTCTGTTTCATTAAACACCAGTAAAACACAAAAACATCATCATGTAGCTTACAGTCCTCTAGCAGTAAGAGTAAAATAAAATCTTGACATAATTTCCAATGTAATCAGTAAATATAAAAGGACCTGCTATTAACGCCTAATCCAAGATCCATTGATGGAGCTCATGGGAGACTTTCCACTAAATTCCATATGTTTTGGGATGATGATTAACTAAGATAAATGTTAAACAGTGAAAGAAAGAGAAGTCAAAACTTACCCATGAATTCAATTCCTAAATGGTCTGCTGTACCCAAGAAAGCATGTAAAAGAAAAAAAAAAGAGAAGAAAGGGAAATGTTAGACTGAAAAGTAAATACCCTCTCTGTCACCATTTGTACCATTTGATATTTTTTGGCAGTGTTGCAGAACTCAGTATCAGTTCAGGGACCCAGTCTATGAGTATTAGTCAAAAAGGAGCAATCCTAAAACAGAACTCTAGTGTGTGGACCTGCTACTTAAGGTAAATGTGTCTGGGGAAGGATGCAAACTTTCACTCTCACTTTTACTGTACTTACCGAACTGCCTCAAATCAGCTAATTACAGAAATGCATTCTCTCTTGCTCGAAAATTCTCTCTTAATATCTGAGTAAAGATGGTAGCGTCAAGTTCTTGCTTTCAGTTTCTCCTAAGAAGATCAAAAACTAAACAAAGAAATGAAAGGCTTTCACTGAGTTTTGCAGCTCTCATTACAGCACTGCGGCCACTCTTTCATCCGATGTGATAGCACTGCTGCGACCTGTTGCGTAACACAGATCTGACTTTAGGAGGTAGTGGATATGTCACTTATTTGGCCACATGAGTGGTACTCAGCAATAATTTCAAGAAACTAAAAACAAGCAAATCTTCAGTTCATTTTGGTCATGGACTGAATTTACCATATGGAGCTCAAAACACCTCAGGACCTCTTTTCAAGTGATTAATTACAGTATGATTCTGTTGCCTAAAAACATTACTGGGCAAAGTAGATTTAAATTTATTAAGGTGGTAGGGAGTGTGTTTAAATTGCTATTTGGTTAAAGAATAACACAAGTCATTTTGCAGGGACAGGGAAAAACTTAAAACCAGCTCTTCAGTGGATCCCAGTTCAAACTGGTACTGCAGAAAACCAGACACTCTGAAAGGGTGCTGAACACAATTCTATTCTGTGCTAAACTTGAAACATATTACTTTCCCAGGGGAGGTCATCATTTGGATTATAAAAAGCAAATAAGGCTTTCTTTTTTCTGAGGGAAATGTGATGTCTTCATTAAAAATATATTAAAAGCAAAATCATTATTTTTAGTCTTCCTTTCAATTTACTGTCACATTTTCTTCAGACAGAGAAGGTTAATACATTATTTTTCCTAGGCAAGGTGGAGCCAGGCTATAATCTCTTAGGAAGTGCAAAGAGCCGCACAAAACACTTCCACTTTAACCCATCCAACAGTTACTTTCAAAAAGTCACTTAAGAACTATACAGTAAAGCCACAAAAAGATTCGCCAACGTAAACACAACAGTAAATCCAAACACTACAATTTGAGTTATCAGATTTTTCACCTAAGATGAGAATCTCAGATACTGCAGTTTCTTCTGAAAGCACTGGGAGTCATTTGCCTTTTGTAAACTCACAATCCTTCCAGGAAAAGGCACTGGACGTTAGCTTGACTGATTCACTCGAAATACAAATTTATAACACAATTCCTAAGCTATATATGTACCTACATGGAAAAAAAACCAAAATGCATCTCAAAAGAAAAGAATGTAAGGTAACGCTATCAGGTATCGACATCTTGCCGGCTTGGAGTCAGAACAGATGCCTTTCCCAAGTCTAGCAACACCCAAATGAGTCATCTTTTACTGGCATTGAAGACATGCAAATAGGTATTATGTAAATATAATATTAACATAAAATTAAAGCCATACATATATGCATTGTGTGTAACTTTCTAAGTAAAGTTAAAACCATACATACATTCCACATTACAGTGTTCTCATCCATATTCTTACATACTAACATTGCATACTAATATCCCTACTACAACTGATGCAGAAACGCAACTTGAAGAACGTAACATCAGAAATAAGACAAGTGCACTCAAAGTGCTATAGCTGCAGAGATCTGTGCCTTGTTTTTCTTCCTCTCATTTCCTCTACCTATAAAATCCACAAATATTATCTACCTGCAAGAATTCACATTCTTGCATCTTTTGGTAAGATAACTGCTTACATTTAAAAAAGGATAATGGAGATCAAAACACCATTATCCAGTCTTCAGGAAGCTAAGTAATCTCAAAAAGTGTATATAAAATACACCTACCTTTTAAAAATTACAGGAAGGATTTTACTTTTGGAGTGGTTTATGTGTAGGGAGAAACAAGCCTAATCCATAGGCTTCTTTAAAGCAATAGGAGAGAGGGGAACATTTGTCAGGTTATTTATTTTAATTATGTCACTGCCTGGAAAGCAACTTGAACAACCAGCGTAACATATATTGCAGATAAAGTTGATATACAGAGATGATGATGAAAGGATGTCTAATGGGATAAGTCCTAACAGCAAAATATCTAAGCTGTCCACTTAATAAGCACAGCTCTGCAAGTCCTGTAAGCAGAATCCTGGAAACAGAAAACAAATTACTAATTCCTGTACAATCAGTGCTCAGAGCTGTTATGTGCTCGTGGTCACTTGCAAGTTTTGGGGAGAGCCTTGACACTCAGGTTGCCTCTGAACCCAAATCCATGATGAGAAGGTCACCCATTGTGTCCACTCGGGGCTGGTACATGTCACACTGATTGCAAGTGTTCAAGCACCACTGGTAACACTAGTGCCCCACATTTCCAACACAATACAAGCAGTATCCAAATGCATCTGTATACTTACACAGTTTTTGTTTTGGCTTGTTTGTTGTTTTCTTTTTCTCTTTCTTTTTTTTTTTTTTTGTTAACAGTCTGTTGTTATTATCCTATAATTCAAGGGCCATTTTTGGAAACAGGCTTCTCCCCTGCTGTCGGGGGTAAGACCCTCTCAGTAGACAGGTGTAAGAGATGGGCAGGGCCCACACAGCCAGGCACTGGGGGAAGAAAGCAGGCTGTAGTGCTGACCTAAGGCAAAGCCGAGCACCAAAATGCAGAATCCCACTCCGTCAACAGTGCACCATGGAGTAGAAGACTGCTGCACTCCTATCCAGCCACAACATACGTGTGATTAACTGCATCCAAACATTTCCTTAGAGTCAGAAAGGAGAGTGTCAAGCCATTCACCATCAGGCGATGCAGTTTCTTCAAGGCCTCAGTAAAACAAAAATGTGTATGACTGATATTAACGTATTAATGTACTGGAATGTGGGCTCTGCTCCCTAGATGGGTCCTAGATTTCTTTCCTTTCTTGTATTGTTATGCTCTGAGGAAGTAATAGACAGGAAGACTATTACCTTTTATACTTTTATACTTATGAATATATCTGAATTTGGTTGTTGATGTGGGAAAACTACTGAGCCTTACGTTCCTTATACTTAGTGAATTTCTTGCTAATGCTGAAGCCATTCCAATTTATACTTTATGAATACATCTACATGTGGGAATCCTTGATAACAAGCGCAGGGGAAGATAAACTTGTACCTGCTAACAGATCAATTTATTAAAGCTTCACATGTAATGTGCAGCTTTGGCTCTGGATTATGGTTAGTCGGGGCTTTTTTCTCAGTCATTTTAATGCGGAGCTATTTCTCCTGGTCCAAGAATGGTTTTACTATTTCATGTGCATTCTAACTTACATTATGAAAAGAAATATAAGCCCAAAACCTAAAAGTCTCTGATCTGTAGAAGAAAAATATTCAATATTAAAACATTCAGTGTAGACTATTATAGACATTTAAATCTGCTCTAAAAATAGGCTGACTTCAATACGAATCAGTGTGAATTACTTTACCCTGCAAATGAAGTTTATTGTTTGCAATAAACTCATAAGGTTTGCCCAGTTTTCCTTGGTAGTTTATTGTTTTGAACAAAAAATGCAACACAAGAATATGCTGCAAACTACGTTGGACTGCTCACATTTTTAATTCAGATTTACTTGGTTATAGGGAAGAAGACAGAGTTGAAGATCAATCAAATTGTCTGAAGAGCAAATGCTAATTTCCCCAGCAATAGCTGGGCAGTTCACTACATGTTCACTGATTTACTAGTAAATTTACAGAATATATCAGCCAGTTGTTCCAACCACATCAAGACATAATAGTGAAAATTCCACATATACGCACCCCTTAAAAAAAGTAAACAATTTATATAAAACTTCACAGACTGGTACGTTCTCAGCGTGAACAAGGATGAAATACTGATATTCTGAATTTGTACAGATAGGGTTAACTGTATTTTAAACCAAATTAAAATCCTCAGTCCACAAAACTGAACGCTGAAGACAGTTAATTGCTTTCTCTTCTTTTCTTTTTTTTTTTTTTTTCCAAAGGAAAAAAGAGCAAGAAAGGAATAAAAAATCAATTTCTTTTGAATATCTGTACGACTCTGCAGAGGTTAGTGCAACCTCCAGATAGAAACTCCCACCCACTATCAATTTCATAACAAGGGAGCATTTGAAAAACATCCAGCAAAACCAGTTCTTATATAAATAATACACAGGGCTGAATAATTGAATAAACTATTGATTTACTCTCCCTGTGAATGACAGACAAATGCTCCTGGCTGTTTTACATCATGAAGGTTGAAAGGCTTTTTCTGACTTCCGAAAAAAAAATACCAGCAATGGTTCCACCTTCACAGGTTGAAGACAAATTAGAAGCTTGAACTGCTTACCTCACCTGCAGCATGCAGGCTCACAGAGGATTATACTGCCTGTTCACTGTCATTTTGAAGACATCAAATTATCGTCTCTACAGCTAACAGGAAAAGTTACTTCTCTTTAATGCACAACACTGGACTTTAAGGAACAACTTTAGTCTCATTGAATCATGTAGACAACTTGCACTGACATCTATGGTTTGTACATCAGTACAGCTTTTAATCCTAGAATTCTTTTCACTGTAGCTATAAATGCACCAAATAAATACATCCTTATATTTATGAAATGAATCAACTTACAAAACATCTGAAGCATGCAGGCCAAAACGTTTAGCGTTAGGTATTCGTTAAATACAGCAATCCTTCATTTGCCTCTCCATAAGCCATTACATTCACCAATGAAAAGACAGCGAGTAAATGTTAAATACTACTACTCTGTACATACTGTATTGACTGGTTTACTTAACACTCA